ACCTCTAACTTGTGATGTGTCATTTTGGAAAGCACTTTTAGCTGCATGTGTTGTATGAAAAGTGCTATATAAATAAAGCTTTATTATTCATTACCAAGTGGCCTATAACCAGCTCGCCTATTCGAGGAATTCAACATTTTTGTAACTTTTTATGTTTGCAGTCGTACTGGAAACCCCAAACTATGATAGGACAGTAAAGTTTGAGATGGACATCAGGGAGTTGTGTCTTTGTACACAGAGTGTTACTAATGAAGCAGGGGAAGCTGAACAAGGCGAGGTGTTGACACTCTGAAATGTGGAAATGCTGCCATTACAAAGCCCACTATGGAATTATGTACTTTTGAACATTTTAGATTGGTTTGGATCACTTTGAAAGAGAATGAATTATTCAGGTGGAAGTGTGAAAGCACAGACAGGTGTTTTATTCTGAGTCCTGTCGTATGAGTCCAACAGGACAGTGTGTCTCTAAACTATTATTTTTTGAATCTGTAATTCCACATAACATTACAAACTTTAGAGATGTATCAAACAGTTTCAACTTGGCTGTCAGCTAATGGAGCATGCAATTAAATGAAGTATACTGAAAAACACACAAAGAAACACATCTAAATATGAAGACATTGGAAACCTTCATCAAAACATTTATATTTTCAAAATGTTATTTTACCCGGATAGGACTCATTGAGATTATAAATATATTTTCCAAGAGATTCCTGGACTCCTGAACAACTCTGTTCAAAAGATTGTTGTCTTTGCATGTAAGAAGGAAAGGTCCAATGATGTGTCTTTGACTGTGTATATACTGTATATACACATTGGCACACATATTGTTATATTCGGGATTGTGGGAAATGGTATTTCGATCCCTCTGTCTGTACACACCAGAGGTTGCGTTAACCGAATATTCTCCGTCAATGACGATTTATTTTTAACAATGACGGAAAAATCTGAAAGCAGTCCGTCATTGTAACAGATTAGAACAAACTCGGAACAGCACCAAAGTTTCCCCGCAGCGAGGCTCCGGTGTTATGCCGTGTTATGCATGCCCGCCAAAAAGGAAATGATACCGTACTTTGCCGTAAACATAATTTAAATGTCTGTGAGTGTTGGCTATACACTCACGCGAGGAGAAGTGAGTGGGCATGCATAACAAGGCGCTAACAGTTGACAGTGTGCTCTTCCTCCCCCCCCTTCGTCAGAGTTGTGTAAAGGCTGACGGGTAATACTGGTTTTTGACGGACATTTTAAGATCCTGTCCGTCAAAATTACGGGCAGCGAAAAAGTCTAGCGCAACCTCTGGTACACACACACTGGTAGATCGACAATAAAGTTGACTTTGACGTAATTCGTCTTCATAACTTAGTCATGTTTGTTCCTTGGTTAGTGAGTATCTTCAGAGCAATGGGCATGTCACCACGGCCCCATATGGAAGACAATTAGGGCCACATGATTATAATTATTTTAAATCTAACCAAAAGTGAATTGAGCTCTGAGATTGAAGTCAGAATTCTACGAGAAAAGTTTAGAATTCTTAACAAAAAAAAAATTCAATTTTCTTTCCGCTGAATTCTTTCTCAGAAATGTAGCCCCTAATCCTCTTCTGTAGCCCCTTCCCACTGCTATTTTCATAACAGTCATACAAAAAACTACCAGGAATTTGTTAAAAATGTAAAACCTCGTGAACTTTAAATAGAAGGATCTTGAAAATGAAATATCGAGAATTAGAAATCAACTTCATATCTTTGACGATAGATGGGGAAAGTACACAACACCAGATATTACCAATGACCCTTCTTCTGTCAAAAGTATAGGTAACACTTTATTTTGATAGTCCATAGTTAACACTCTATAAGTCATCAGTTGACATTTAGTAGCATGTCAACAGTGCATCAGTTGACGTTCAACAGCACCGTTCAAACCGACAAGTAACTAAGCATTAGTTGATGATCAACAGATAAGCAACTTTAGAGTTTAGTTGAATATTACATTAAGCATTACTTGATAAGCAACTTTAGAGTTTAGTTGAATATTACATTAAGCATTACTTGATAAGCAACTTTAGAGTTTAGTTGAATATTACATTAAGCATTAGTTGATGATCAACAGATAAGCAACTTTAGAGTTTAGTTGACTATCTATATCCTATAAGTTATTGTTCACCTTTCCTGATTGGTATTTTAGTCAGAACTGTATTTCATTTTGTTGTGTTTGCCGTGTAATTGATTACCTAAAAAACATATTAAAAAACCTCTTAGACTCTTCTCTTTGACCCACCGTATGGGA